TCTTTCATAATGTCGTCAAATGATTTTTCAGTACCTACATTATATCCACCATCTCCCCTATATATTATATCTTGCCTGATCATATATTATAATAATTTGTTGGGATAATACTGGTATACATTATTTTTTAAAGTACAAATGAAAATTCCAAGAACACGTCTTGGTGATTTTTTTTAATGTCAAATTTATTTTTAAATCCTTTATTTAGGTTACTTGATATTTTTTTTTTTAAATCAACATTCCAAATGAATACATTTATAATTATGTACGTATACATTTTTCAGAGTAATGTACAATATACAATATTATATTATCGAGACTCGGGGATGAACATGCACACTCTCGAATAGTTTCTAATTATTTTAATTGGTTATACTACAAAATTGATATTCTATCGATTAGAATAACAGTAATAATCTTCAACATTGTGTGAACACATTAAATATTTAATCGTATACGGTGTGCAAAATGCGATAAATTAGGTAATATGCTCAAAACTGGAATTACTGCCATTGAACCAATCTAAAGTAGGTATTTCAATCGAATCCGTAATAATATGAACGTAGGTAGTTTCAAGCGACATTTTTTTTTTTATAGAATATTATATAACAATATATAAGGTCAATATTTTTTTACAGCATATTTTTTTTTTCAAACAGCATTGCGATAATAATGACATTTAATGTTTTCTAAAATAAATAATAACTGACGTGGACTATCTCGCATCGGTTATCAAAAGAACTTATATACCTACAATCGTCTAAAACATAAATGATGTGGGTAGGTACCTACTATATATAGGTGATAAAAGTAAATAATAATAGTATTATGTTATCAATATATAAATACGTGAAAACGATTAAAACATTTGTAATTTTTTTCATAGACATATTATATAGGTTATCTACGGTAATATATAATAACTGTGTAAGAGAGATCTTCGCAGCCAATGTATTGTATAACAAACAAACATTATGAATTACGATGTAACGATGTATATTAGATAGAGACTATGACGATGTATAATATACTATTATATATACCTACCTATACGCATTTGTGTGCATTTCATAAATAATAAATACTGATAGCGTTTTAAACTTTCATGTCACAGCGAACACCTGCAATATACTACACCGAAATGTCAAATCCACTCTGAATATTTACTCACAATAAAACCGGACTACGACCACGATAATTCCCAGAGGTTTATACTTGTTATCTAACGATCCAATAAGTACCTTATATTGTGTACCTATCGTCTACCGACTATACTTCCGCCCTGGTAGTTATCTTTTTTTTCGGGCAAAATACGCAGTATTAACGAGTACTTACATAATACTTATACACACAAATACAATATATTATATGATAATGCGCATAATATAAACGTCGTGTTATAAATATTATTGATATCCATGCAAACACACGATGAGTACAATGTACACAATACCTACATAAAACATTCAAAATATATTTTATCGGACACTATCGAAAAACAAAAAGTTGAAAATAATATTATGATACCGGCGTAATGAGACCAATAGGTAGCTTATAATGTTTTTTTAATAACTTGTTTACTCGCTGCTTCTAAATGTCAAATGGTGATTTATAATATTTATACGTACCTACTGATAATGTATAATAATCTATCCATACTAAGCACAGTATTATATTTTATCGAAATAAAATTGTTGAAATTATTCATTCAAAAATATAATAGGTATATGTAAGAAAATATAAGACATTATTATAATAAATGAATAAATAATTAATTGATTTGGTAACATAAAAATATACATTTAATCTATCTATATATCGCTATTTATATATTCTACATATTTAATATTTTTACAGAAGGGTATATCTATAACCTGAGCAACAATCTAGTAGTCACCCATCTGTCTTAGTGTATTTTCAGAAATTTATAAAATACCTACTTCATAGACTCGGCACAAGCCAAAGCCAAATTATTATTATTTTGCATTTGAAAATGTAATTGCGTTCATTAAAATATTATGAGCTCGGTTAAACTAAAAATGGTCAAGATTTTGTTGGACTGCTGTGCTTACATATTTCTCTGTTTTAGAATTTTTAGAATGAGTTTTTTTTTTGGTTATGACTGCGAAAACTATAAAATAACTTGTCTAAAGTACCGCTAGTATTTAATTTTCAGTCGATTAATTACAGGGCAATGAAAAAAAATTGGAACGACTTTCTGGCACGAGAAAAAACGAACAATGTTCGTAGGTACTCACTCGAGTATTTAATAGGTAGACGCATCGTATTTTTATAAATATAATTAAAAACTATTCTACTTATGAAAATGCAAAACGACAAAATTAATATGTTAATAATAATTCTATTACATTATGTATTATTATTTAAATTGTTTTATTACATTTGAACTCTTAACTTTTAACAACTTGAACGTGGTCTACAAGTTTATTTTTTGAAAATTGAATTTTTAATTTCAGTTCCAATATTTGAACTGTATATTATTTCCTTATACATTTTAACAATGAAGATTATTATTGCCCACGTAGGTATTACTTCATAAGTCGTAACAATTTTTATGATGCATATTTCTTATGTTCATTAAATAATAATAATAGGTAGTAATTATTACTCGAATAATAAGCTTAGAAGTTGGCATGGTTCCTTCTTCAAAACTATATTTCTAGACTTTTCTTGAGTTGGCTTAAACATTTTACAATCATCATATTAATATAAATACATAGTACGTACATGCCTAAGGTAAGAACAGCATAGTATATTATATTGTAGAGTACATTTAATCGAATATTACGAATGAATTTAACAGGACCACCAGGGCATCAAGAATAATTATTTAACAAAAATATAAAATCATGGTTTCTTTTTATCTAAAACCTAACCTATTATTTTATTAGAGAGCTCTAATTAAATACGAACAAAAAATATTCTTAACGGATTGAATCATATTGAATCATATTGTTTAAGCTAGATTTCTATAATAAAATCTATGCATAGGTGCCTATGTCAGATGTCTCATGCCTACTCTTACCATACTATTCATTTTCAATTCTAAAACAGCTACTATACGATATCAGTTTGATTGCGAACTCGATCTTTAATTTAATTTACTTTTTTAGAAAAAAACAAATTGTAAACTTGAAAATTATTTTTATTTTTTGGGTATATTTTAAAGTGCTTTATAGCGCACTTGAGTTTTAAAATGTTTTGAACTTTAGGGCTAAATTTCTAGGCTCATATTTTATTTCGGTTTGAATAATATGGCAAGAAACGGCAAATGGTGAATCCACAAGAAATGTACATTAAATTTGGCTGATGTCCACAAATTTCACAAAATAATTAACGTTTTTTAGCGTTAAGTTCAACAGGCGTGTACCTTCATTTTAATTGCATTATAGAACTTGAATAATTAATATTTTATGCCTACTTAGTTACATAGATACCTTTAAAATGACTTGGTTATTATTTTATTAAATACCTAACAAATATCTAACCTATCAAAAAAATAAAATATTTACTACCTATATTACTATAGAATATAACAAAATATGATTTTATTAATACTAAAATAATTATAAAAGTTAAAGAAATCTTTTTGCGTTATTTTTGTGAGACAAATTTGTCATATGAATGTTTTCTTTTCCAGAGATTCAAAGTTGAAGTAATGGATACCGTTTTTGTTTGTTACCTTTATATTTGAAATTGTTTATTTATAAACACATATCTTAGTTATAGAAAAAATATGCTTATTTTTATATTTTATGAAAAATTGAATATCTGATTAATAATGTAACAGAATAGTCGTACACCTACGTATCATAAAGTGGTACAGATACACAAATATCACACGAATTTATTTATTTATTGTTGCAACTGTTCAGATGTATACCTACCTATATTTTTCTAGTATTAGTGTTATCGTTGAAATATTTAAAAAAAATAGTAAACATTAATAATATGAATAGTATAAGTATTTAGGAATGATTGTTTGGCACTCATTCATAAATTTGTTTAAAATAAAATATAAATACAGAATGATCTTTTTTAACCAAGATCACTGCATTTGTACTATTAAATTAAACATATTTATTAAAATTTTGATATTTAGCATAATTAAGTCAGATAAATTTTAAGTGCTGTCCTGCAGCAATACAAACTTTTGTTTTTCAAATAGAACATTGCTGTTTTACTGCGATTTATTAAGAACATGATTTTTTTTACGAATCTATTGATTTAACTAATATGTAATGAAATTGAAATTTGAAACGGTCAGATTGAACTGTTGTCCCACGGAGGACCACGGATAAAAATCACTCTGTAAAAAGATATTAAACATTTTATTTTTTTTATAGGTTCGACATATTAAGTATAAATTTATATAAATCCGAACCCTATAACGACAGTTCAATATATTACGGCGTATTATGTGATTGATTAAACTTCATCTATTGTTTGAAAAATACTATTTGACACAGACGCTGCTGCATAGTTGTCGAAAGGAATGCGTTTGCAGCCAATCTCGGTGGCCGTGGTGGCTTCAAAGCGGCATGATAAAAAAAAAAAAAAATAATAATAATAATAATAATGAACGAAAAAAAAATGGAAAAATATCGACTGAGAATCAAGACCATCACAACATAATAATAATAATATAAAGTATTGCTTAACGCGCGTCTCGGGGGATGGCGACGATATGAAGACCGCCGCCTCGCACATCTCTAATACGACACGACGTCTTCTTTGCGGACGGGAAAAAAAACTGGTCCCAAAAAAGTCGTCGCACGAGTTTCGCAATAACGACGTACACATTATACGTTTTTATGTGGGTATAGGTAATCCTGTAAACTTATAATGAACACGCGACACCGACCGATTTTCGATGCGGAGAAAGTGTCACCGGACGGCGGGAGGGGCAAAAACGAAAATTGCGCTCGGACGATTTATCTGTATTCATCAATTTTTGGGGAACGATCGACTGGTATATAAACCAGAGCCGGCTAACCGTTTGGCATCAGTTCATCTCCAACGATCCATCGCAGTATCCGATACAAAATACAAATTGTATACAGCTATATCGTATCTTCTGCAACTCAACTACCGCCATGGCTCAATTCAAGGTAAGAATCATAATATTATCGTAATAACGTATACAGATCGGCAACAAAAGAGTCGTCGATTGCTTCGCCAGATTACGAGGAGCTGAGAGCATTCTCGCAGAGAAAACTCTTAAGCCTCGTAAAATCGTAGCCAGATTTTGATGACTTTTTATTTTGTCTGAAATATGAAAACTTTATACAAGTAGCCGTAAACTCTGATTTAAAAAAATCTATTTTCAAAAGTTGTAATAAACGTCTAAATTGAGCACAAATTTTTGAGTATTTTTCTATATTAATATTTTAAGTTAATTTAAAAATCAGAGTTCTCTTTTATACACCTGCCCATATATATATATATAGTTTAGCTCCGATGCAACACATCCTTGTCCATAATGCGATTATCATACATATTTTGTATACACTACATCAATATATAGATATTGTAAGTAACCGGTCCTTTAGTTAATCGATGAACGATTTTACTTTTTTCAGGCATGCATCGTCGGTTTGGCATTGATCGGGCTCTGCGTAGCCGATACAGTCAAGACTGACACCAAGACCGCAACCAAACGAAGCGCCGATTTGTCATACGGTCTCCCATCTGCCTACTCCGGTCTGTCTTCCAGCTACGGTTCTGGTTACGGTTCTGGTCTAGGTCTATCTTCCGGCTACGCTTCTGGTTACGGTCTGTCTTCCGGATATGGTTCTGGTTACGGTCTATCTTCCGGATACGGTTCTGGTTACGCTTCCCACGCAGTGCCAGTCAAAGTGAGCCAATCCGATCATGTCGTTCCCGTCTCCGTGCCACAACCGTACGCCGTGCCAGTCACCCGTCACGTACCAGTGTCCGTGCCCCACCCCGTCCCAGTGTCCGTTCCAAGGGCCGTCCCAGTCAGCGTACCACACCCAGTCCCAGTCACCGTCGACCGCCCATACCCCGTTGATGTGCCACGCAGCGTGCCAGTCAGCGTACCACACCCAGTGCCATACCCAGTCAGCCGCCCAGTGCCATACGCCGTCCCACAACCGTACCCAGTCGAAATCCAACAACACGTACCAATCTCCGTCCCAACCCCAGTCATCGCACCAACTTACACTTCCGGATACTCTGGCGCTTCATCATACGGATCTCTAGGATACTCTGGATCTTTGGGATACTCCGGCGCTTCATCATACGGATCTCTGGGATACTCCGCTCCATCTTTCGGATCTTCATACGGATACTCCGCTCCGTCCTACGGATCTTCTTACGGATACTCCGCTCCGTCCTACGGATCTTCTTACGGATACTCCGCTCCGTCTTACGGATCTTCATACGGATACTCCGCCCCGTCATTCGGATCTTCATACGGTTCGTCTCACGGACTCTCGTCTCTGTCCTCTTACGGTGGATCGTCCTTGTCCGGTTTGTCTTACGGACACGGTCACTCCGAAGAATACAAGAAATAATAATCTTGCCAATTCTATATTGCAAATCGCTGAATCAGCGCCGAATCCGAAACCAACGCAAAATCTCACTCGTCGCACCCATCAGCAACCGTCGCCGTCTGTACCGCAGTACAGTTCTAACACTGTCTGCGTTATTCGCGGAGACGAAACAGCTGCCGCCGCTCATTAAATCATATTATTATTTTATTAATACTATACTGACGTGTATATAAATATATATATTGTATATTATATCAACCGGCTGGATAACGTTTTATATTTTCACATACCTATACCTTCGTATAATATTGTGTATAATATAAATATATGTATGGTTCAGAACGGTCGGTCGTATACGATATTATATTATATTACACTCATTTTATTATTTTATATAGCTAATATTATCATCATCATCATCATTATTATATTATTATTATTATTTTTGTTATTATACGTTATATTAAGTGTTAGCGGATGTAAATGCATAATATTATGTGCAGTATACAAAAGCAAACATTTCATTTTGTCTTAATAAAACTCAAAAACAAAATTTAATACAATAATACAGCTGTTTGTGTTTATTGACGAATATGTTTATATTATATATATATATATATATCGTTATTACTTATTACTCATAGGTAATGGTTACCTGCCTATAATATGTTGATGTCATATTACGTGTTAAACTTATACTACCAATGTTCTGTGAGATGGATGCAGAAATAATATTGTAATGTATATTATGATAAATGTTATACACATATTGGATAGTGCATGCGTGTACAACTATCAATAACAATATATCCAGTCACATGGGCCATCTTGTGAGTTGTGACCCTTATTTGTTTCTCAAAAACCATTTGATATTATTTATTGTACCGAAATTCGTCAGTAGTACAAGGTACTCCATAGTAGGCATATAAAATAAATAGGTACCTAAATATATATTATTTATCCAGTTTTGGATTTATAAGGTATATTATTCTAAGTAGACGTAGACTATAGACCACCCTATACTCAGTTGGTCAGTTTTAAATTATAATTATAATTATACATTTTTAGGTGTGCTTTAGGAGTTAAAAGTTTACTAAAATGTTTAATTTATATCAACATGTCATCAATAAAGGAAAAAAACTGCAGTCACATATAAATATTAAATATATTTTAAAATATATTATATAAATTTTAAATCATTTAAAATAATTTAAAATATTTATATACATTTTTTTATTTGTTGATTTGCGTATAAATGATAATATTAATAGTTAGTGTGTAGTAACTTGTTATGGTTATTCAAGACTTTCCATAAAAATAAATATTACGAATCGAAATAAGTAGTTTACCGATAACCATCACAAAACTATACTTCCGAACACGTATGATTGTATGAATGTATATGTTATATACATATGTAATATGTTAACATATTAACAATAAGTATTAGAAAATATAACACTAAATATACATTCAGCTACCCACCTATAAGATGAGGTATTATTAAGAGGACGCCCCATTCACATCTTCGTCTCGTTCAAGTGCGAAACACTGCAAATTGATGTTCATAACTTCACTGTTCATGTTTAATTTAGTTAATTTTAATATTAAAGTGAATTGACCAATTGAAAGGTCATAATATGAAACTTAAAGATAAGAGAACCTATATTATGTAAAGCCACTCGTAGGTTGTTGTTAATATTTTAATTTTAGATTCAGGCTATATGCCTATATTGACTATAGGCCATATATAGGCTATTGCGTAAAAAGTTACAGTGTTTCAAGATGTTCATAACTTGTTTAAAAATTTAAATACCAATGAAAATTTACGAAATTCTTTGTATAGATCCAATAGTAGGTACGTATGTATATGATGGTGTCATAATGGTTTTAGATCCAAGGATACTTGTATTTTTATTGGTAAATACGATGGTTCAAACGAACATAAGAAAGTCAATATCTATCGATTTGAAACCGTTTGAATGTCATCAGACTAAATAATACCATTAAATTTGATAATATTTTGGACAATATTCACTCATAATATTAAGAGGAACCTATACACACGCATGTGTTGTCTCCGTCTACAGGTGCGTAACATAGTAAATTTAAAATTACCTATGTATACTTACCTACTCAATATAACATTGTATCTTGTTCATTTATACTTACCAAAATTACAGTAGGTATAGTACTGTAATTGTAGTCAATAATATTTAATCCAGATATAGACACTTTTGTTGAACTATACAAGGTTTATAATTTCTGCAGACGTTAAATTCCATGCATTTTATATATTATAAATCAATGGTAGAATAATATAGACATTATAAGTCTATAACTACCTATCTATATACTAACAACTAACAACACGTTTAAACATTGCGTACCTATGAATTTATTATAACACAAGGTAATTACTTATTTCTTGTAAAGGCTGGTTGTATTATATAGGTAGGTAGTTTAGTAGTTACCTATGCCCATTTAGGTAGCGTTGTCTTACCCGTTTCCGAAATCGTGATATTAATAAATAATAACTTCAGTTAATTGCATTACTTACGGGATTAAGATTTTTGACGCTCTGCAGGATAGTATATAGGATATCCGATATGGAGGAATGAGGATACCTCTTCTAAATGAATTCCACAGTATAAAAATACTATAATAATATTATATACGGCTACATTACGTATTGTAGACAGATTGTCTGCCAACTTTCTTCGTTTGGAAAGTAACGTTTGACTATAAAGGTATACTTACTTAATACATTTTACACATATAAAAATATCATCGATGTATAATAATAGGTGCAATTATTATTATGGTCTTTGTTTGTTTGTATGTATCTACCTAACACAATGTTTAGGCATATAGTTTGCACCTAAATACCTATGATATCATGATTTAAGAGAATAAAAGCTGCAATACCGTTCCGAAAGTTTTTTTGTTCTATATCAACTAAATATAAAATATACAACCCCTCTGTGGCGGCACCCTTCTGTAAAAAATTGTATTAAGATTTAAGACCTTATATGCTACAAGGTCCATGATTTGGACATGCTTAGACCACCCCATGAACATTTTTAGATTTTTTTTTTTTTGAAGGTAAGTACTATTAATATTAATATTAATTATTTAAGTACAGAGGTGCAATCAGAATTTGTCGGTCGGACTTAGTTTCGAAGTTATAGCCTTTGGAAGTTTTTTTTCTCATTCACGCGTCACTCTAGCTTACTGAGGATTACGAATATTGATGTTTTTTTTTTCGATACCTACTTATGTAGGTACTTCGACGAGTTAAGAATGGTGGTGCAATCAGAATTTGTTTTCCGGACTGTCAAGTGAAGTCAAATCTCCGGGAATATAGTAACGGAAATATAATTGTTTTTTTTTAAATATTGATCAATGTTCCAGGCTTATATTAAACTTTTAGTTGTAAATGATCCAAATGACAAATATTTTATGTCCAAAAATATTGCAGCCTACAGGAGAATAACTTTAACTAATAAGTTATACACTTAAATTTCACTATGAAATATGAGTAATATAAATATTTATTATAATGACTCCCTTCGACTGCCGGACCTCTCGTTGGAGGGAGGCTCGGCCCCTAAGACCCCCGGGGGCCGGGGCTATAATACCTAGTCAACTTGCTGGAGGGGAGGGAGATGAGAAACTCGTTCGTGGTCTCGGAGGGGGAAAGTATATTGTATATATATATACCCTTCGGGCAGACAGATGTCCTGACAAGAAAACTTAACCTTGTTAGTTAAAGTAAAACAAGTATAGCATGGCTACCTTTGCCTACCGGCTCCGGTCGCCAAATTCAAGAAACCTCCCTTCGCCTACTGTCAACGGTCGCCAGACTCGATGGTCAGTTAAAACAACATAAGTATATTAAAGTGGCTCCGGTCGCACAACTCGAGGTCCTACGATTCTCTCGTAACATTGCCATTTAAACGTGATAAAGTGATAACCGTATCGTAGAGCTCACTTGCGTAAACAACCCAAAATTACATACTTCTGAAGGCCATAACTTCGAACTAAGTCCGACTGACGAGTTCTGATTGCGCCATTGTAATATAAAGAAGTTCCAAAATAAAAAAATCGAAAAATTTTCATGATTTGGTTAGGTGCATTTTAGTCAAATGGTAAATAGTAACCTGGTCAGGCTGGTGAATTTACAAATAAATCTAAGTAACAAAAACCGATTTAATTCGAGCTTCCATTATTGCGTTTTATCATGCATTTAACTAAAAGCTGGGTTAACTGCAGTCGTGTGTCGTGTCATGTCTATCAAATCGCATTCTGATTGAATGTTGTCGGTATCGTGTAATAACCAAGTTGCAACCAACTTATATCAAGGAGGAAATCCTATAGCGGTAAAAGTTGGACAATTTTTTCAATAAAATAAATATATATGTTTAGGCATAGAAAAATGTATATACAATTTAAAAAAAAAAATTGACTTTGTTTATATTTACATTACTTTTCTTGTAATAAAATAGCAATACCGTGAATGCTATACTATTGCGAAAATATTAAATATTATCATTTCCTCTGATATATTATGATTTCATATTTATTAAAAATAAAATATTTAAATTAATACAATTTTCACAGTATATTTTGAATGTTATGAAATTCACTTCAAAATTAAATGAATATTTCTTATTTGTTATCAACAAAAGCTCTATTAAAAAATAAAATTGAATTGTTAAATTTCAGAAATTTCCCTTAAGAAATATCTTGAATATAAAATTTCTGAAATCATTCATCACTAATCATGAATGATAGGTGTCATTATAGGTTTATATTTAAAAACAAATAATAACAAAAGTTAATTTTAATTTTGGATATTTAAGGCAGGCACTATGGATATACTATAATTAATTAGCAAGTTTTTGAAATATATTTATTTAGTCTGTTATTAATTGTTCTTTTGAAATTGTTCATATAACTAGTATAGGTGCGATGCCTAAATTAAATACCAAAATTTAAAATTGATTGTACTAACAATAAATATAATAATATAGTATATATATTCAAAAATAAAAAAACCTAAGTGTTTTTTTTTGTACTTATATTTTTATTAGGAAAAACATGAGTCTTAATAACAAAAATTATAACTTTATGCCATTATTCTTTCTTATTTAAAAGTGCTTTAACGTTTTCTGCATCTAATGTTTCATACTTAAGTAATGCTTCAGCCAAAAGCTTATGTTCTTCTTGGTGAACAATTAATATGCTTTTTGCACGTTCATACGATTCCTAAAGTGTATATAAAAAAATTATATTTAATTTAAATTTAAAACTTAATCAATTAATATAATAATAATATTATGAATATTATATGATGCATTTAAATAATAATAACTACTGAAAAGATTTAGTGGTACAAATTAATATAGCTATCATACTTTATTCAAAATTTTAGATACAAAGATTTTTACCTGCAAAATCCTTTTGATTTCATCATCAATGAGTTCATTTGTAGCTGTACTTAGATCATTTGACTGAGACTCGTGATTACGAAGCCCAACTTTTTCAGACATTCCAAGTTCTTTCACCATTCTAGTCGCTATATTAGTAGCTTGCTAAAGAATAATTCAACAATAGATTGATTACATCAAATTAATAGGTACAAATATTAGAATTTAACTAACTTTTAAATCATTTGAAGCTCCAGTTGTAACTTTTTCAGGACCAAATATTAATTCTTCAGCAGCACGACCACCCATCATTGTATCCATTAAGGCTAACATTCTAGCTTTAGTTACATGGTATTCTTCTTTTGCTGGTATATATGCAGTCTACAAAAAAATAATTTAGAATAGAATGAACGTTGCAAACAATAAAAGTTATGTTAAAGTAAACAATATATACATGGCCTAATGATGATCCTCTTGGCATTATTGTTACCTTATGAAGTGGATGAGAATCTTTAGTGAAATATGCAACAATTGCATGTCCGCTTTCATGGTACGCAGTTATTGTATTTGCTTCCTCATCAGGAATCTTTGTTTTTTTTTCAGGCCCTAAATTTGATTATGTACAAATTAAATTATTATAAATTCATAGGATATTATTATTTTAACACCAAAAACAATTACCCATTAATATTTTATCCCTAGAAATTTCCAAATATTTCATAGACACAGTTGTAGCTCCATCACTTGCGGCTTTTACAGCCGCTAAGTTTACCATATTTTCAATATCAGCACCAGTAAAACCACTAGTTCCTCTAGCCAATAGATCTACATCAATGTCTTTGTTAAGTATTTTCTTAAGATATAAATCTATTATTTGTTTTCGCCCCTCATAGTCCGGATAAGAAACCTAAAAAAATTTGTAAATAAAAAAAAAGAATTTATGTATTTATTATATTTATTTTCAATTCACATAAACTTCAATGTCAAAACGACCTGGACGAAGCAAAGCTTGATCCAAATCCTCACGTCTATTAGTAGCACCAAGTACAATAATGTTTTGATTTTGATGAAACCTAGTAGAAATAACAAATATTTATTAAATAATATAAGTAACACAACATTTTACACATAATTTACCCATCCATTTCAGTTAGTAACTGATTTATTGTTTGATTTGAGTATGGAGCACCATAATTTGATCTTTTTGCACCAACAGAATCAATTTCATCAATAAATATAACACAAGGCGATTTTTCTTTTGCCGCTTCTAAAATTAAATAATTATGTAATGAAGACAAAAAAATATTACAGATGTATACATTAAAAAATTTATCAATATTTTATTATAACATAAAAATGAAGACTAATAACAATGCAATTATAATAAGTTATTATGGAAATGTTTAACTAGTTTATTGTAAATCCTGAGATTTAGATTAATATCTATACAACAATATTGGTCATGTAAAAAGATTTTAATGCATAGCTTTGAGAAATTCTATTCTAGTTGGTTGTTCGTGATGTGTAATTATTTAAGAATTTAAGTAACATAACAAGCCATATCTCAGAATATATAATTAAATAGTTTAACAATAGTTATTCAGGTACAACATAAATTCAATTTTAAATCTCTAAAAAATTGTAGCAGAAAGATGAGTATGACTGAACAAAATATTAAATGCTTACTAAAAAGATCACGAATTCGCATAGAGCCTTGTCCGACTAAAATACCATTAAATTCAGAGCCAGCCGCATACAGAAATGGCACTCCAGCTTCTCCGGCAACAGCTCGAGCTAATAGGGTTTTTCCAGTTCCCGGAGGTCCAACAAGTAATACACCTTTAGTTTATAATAATAAGCAATAAATATCAATATAATTTGACACATTTTTTCTTTGTTTTTTTAGATGAAAACAAAGCAGAGGTATCTTCAATTATAAAATGTTTTCAGCTGATAGGTACTAAATTTTGAATGAAATTCTCATTTTTTTTTTTTTTTTAGAAAATATTTGGTGACTGATTCTTATTAGTTAAGTTGATGATGAATCAAGATTAATAAAAATTTAACTTTTTTAATATCTTTTATAACAATTTGAATAATATAGATATTGTATTACAATTTTATTAAATTATTCTAAATCATGAAATTTAAGTCAAACAGTCATAACAATTAGGTACCAAATAAAAGGCAAATTTGAAGTTTTAAAATATTTTAGTTATATATGATTTTAGATTAAAAATAATTGAAATTTTATACGACTATATTATTTATATGCAAGTCTAATGATACTTTTTTTTTGTTTCTTATGTGTATTAATGAACAGTACCTACTCGTTAACATTAACTCATAAGTAGTATAATTTTTAAGAATAGTTATGTTACTTTTAAATATTTATAAAATACCTTTTGGTAACTTTCCACCTAATGAAGAAAATTTAGTTGGATTTTTAAGAAATTCTACAATATCTCTCAACTCTTGTTTAGCTTCATCTACCTGAGAAACAAAAATAAAACAGTGTAAAATAAATACATTTGATTAAAATAAACTTACTTTATTATTTAATTAACAATAAACTTACTCCTTTAACATCATTAAAAGTCACTGCACTTGTAGTATTGGTACTTTCATCAAAATTTCCTTCAACCTTGACTTTTGTCTTAACCTCTGTAATTAAATCTAAAAATAAATCAATGAATATAACAAAATTAACTTAATCTAATAGCTTATACATTATCTACTAAGTAATTAGTACTGGTCACTACTGCTTTCTTTTCATCTTCATAATTAAGACATTTTTACAAACACATGCTTAACAAAGAATCAAGGAGCAGACATTTTTTTCTTAGAAAACTAATCAAATTAAATTTACCTAAGATCTAACTAAGTATACCATGTATCTAAGGAATATGATTAAGAGTACGCTATACCCGCATGTATTGTCTCCGTCTTACAAGAGCGTAACATATCAAATTTTACATTCAGCAGATCACGTTTAGCTCAGTTGGCTTAAAAATTAGATTGAATTGACCTCGTATTAAAATTAAAGGTAATATTATTACGGGGGGTTTTTCATAGGCTTTTTATTATATTTTAATTTTAAAGGTAGTTATGAGTATTTAAAAATTATAAATTGTTTGTACAACTCAAAATACTCATAACTCCCTTTAAAATTAAAATATAATAAAAAGCCCATGAGAAGCCCTCCGTAATAATATTACCTTTAATTTTAACACGAGGTCAATTCACTCTAATTTTAAAGCTAATTGAGCCAAACATGATCTGCTGAACGTACAATTTGATATGTTACGCTCTTGTAAGACGGAGACAATACATGCGGTCATAGCATCCTCTTAAGAAACAAATCAACATTTTATGTTTTAGAATGGAATTATCAAATTGAAAGAACTGTAGTATTTATGACAGAACATACCGGGACCTTTATCAATATTATACTTAACATACCATGCTGGATTTAGCTTGGTTTATAAATTACCGCACCTAATTTACTAATAACACAAGTTTAAAAGGTGTTATTTACTGCTTCATAGTTATATTTATTCCATTATGCAAGGAATGTTTGTAATATTTTTTATATAGATTGCTTTTCTTACATAAAAGTATAAAAAATGAATCACACAATGAAAGCCATTTAATTTTACATTGGTTTTGGTACTTTTATCTTTTGTAAATTCAGAAAATTGATTTTTCTAATTTTACTGCAAAACTATCTTCCTTTACCATACTTAACACGTTCACTGCAGATGAAGCCAAATTGTGTCATTTAATAATGTATGTATATTGTATATGCTGAAGAACTGCCAATTTTTTTCAGCATCACAATAAGTAGAATAATATATTATACTATACAGAGAATATCAGACATATCTTTGATCTTACTATAAAACATCCTTTTAAACTTCTTTTAACATTATATTATACTCGAAACATTGATAAAATTGGCGAAAACCGTAGAATATGTAAAATCCCTATTTTTAATTTAATTTGTTAAATTTCTTCTCAGAATTTGCCAGACATATTTTTTTTTTGTATTTTCATCTAAAATTTTGTTAACTAGGGGTTAATACTTAATAGTATCATATTTAGAAATATTGACTGCTGCACATTTTTGAGTTTATTAAAATAGTTATTTAAGCTTAGTCTATGAATACAAATATAATTTAGTGTATTGACATAAATATATATTACCAGATATAGGGATAAATGTAGTAAGTATCAATCCAATCAAAAATCCATTACTAAAATAGTCCAAAAATGTCCACCATTTTTGAGATTTGGTAGTATTTCCTTTTTGGTCTTTTGCTACATGTTTTTTATTTGTATTTCTATTCTTTAATAAGTCTGTAAAAAATGTATTCCTGACTATCATAAATTGTAATTCATAATTTAATTTAAAAATTATCTAGTGGTCTAAATTCAATAAATATACTTATGCATCTTAACTGAAAACTACTATTATTTATCTTTCCATTTATTAGAATCTATGCCTGAAAACATGGTAACTGAAAAATAAAGTTCTGTGGCAGAGAGGGGTTCCAACATTTTTCTATATGAATACTGTATACTTAACAATGTTATGTTCAAAATATAAAATCTCTTGTTAAATTTTTAAAAAAATGTTTGGGAGTATCTAGAGTATTCGTCCACCTCGCAACCAGTTACTGCATTGACTAAAAATAAATCAGTACCTTTCAAATCACTTTCTTTAAGAAGTAATAGCATTTCTCTTAAGCGATTTGTCATTTTATTGTTTCTCTTACAAGAAATACGTTCAGTTTTAAAGCTTCTTAATTGAACATCTATAGTAAAATGTTTATATTAGTACATTTTCAAACAACATTTTTAGATAATATTTATTACATGTATAACTAAGTCACATAAGCTATTACATAAGAAAACTTGTAATAAATTATTTTAAAATTATCATTTCTTTAATTCTAAGTTAATCTTATTGTATTAAATGTTTGCATTTTTTGTAAAATAACAGACGTGGGATTTTCAAGTAGTCAAAATTATATTACTAAATAATAATTACACAATAGCTGCATTATAAAGAAAAAAAAACAAAAAATAGTTAAGTCTCTAAAGTAAAATCATATTTATAAAAAAGGAAATAGGTCAAATCACTGCTGTATATTAGATGTCAAGTGTACATCATTATTGAGGAGTAAGTCACTATAATGTACCTATGTGTTAAATTACTAATTAAGATTATTATTCTTTAAAAAAAAATCTATGTTCAAATTTAACTTAATGATAATAATAAAAAAAACTTAAATACACAATAACACAAAAAAAAAACATAAATCATTGTAAAATCAATAAATTAATAGAACAATACAAATAGTAGGTTATTGTTTTTTTATATATGAATAAAATAGAAACTGACTGGAACACTCTATGGACTAAATTGTCAACTATTATTATAAATAAAGAATAAATTAAATACCTGTTAAATAAGGTCTAGGACGATGTAAGAAGTGTTTAGCTGACAAATCATGTGTACTTGATACAATTAAAATATGATTGTTTGTATTATCAACAGTGTGGTGGCATTTTAGATCAAGTTTTTTATTCAATGTTTTTTGCAACAAGCGTACAATATATTGATGTTTTTTCACATTACAATGAACAATAGAATATTTGGGCCTGTTCATTAAATATTCATCAACTTTTTCAACAGTTATATTATTATCTAAAATCTAAATATTTTTAAAATTAATGTACTTATTTTAAGAGAATTATAATAAATTCAACTATAAAAGAAATTGAGAAGTATTAAATAATAATTGTTGTCATAGACCTTATGTTGATAAACTGGCATTTTATACACTCTGATTGATTAAAGATAGATGCTCTGGTAGTAGTACATATTACAATTAAATACATAAACATAACTATGGGTGGACATTGATCACCAAGTCATTTAATCTCGCCCTCTATGTTTGACCACGCATAATGTTACTAATATAGATAGGGCCCTATGAGTAGGGTCTATAAGGTCTATGTTTGTCGTGCAACACCAGCATAACATTCTTTTGTACGATCATCATTTTCAAAAAAACAATTATAAAAGGTAATAATTAGGAACTAGAAATAGGTGCAAAATGAATTCTTTCTACTACACTTTAAAATAATGCTTTCCAACAAGTTATTTCTCTTATACACACACATCAACGATTTTAATAGTGAAACTTGTATTTTACAGTTGTTATTTTTCAAGTAATTTTCATTAAACATGAATCTATCTTTCATTCATAAATTATAATTTGAAGAAAAAATAAAGTATATGAGTAAACACATTTTACAAAAACCAGGCCAGGATATCTGTAAATCATATTTTATAGGCTTATACCTAATTAAAAACATTAAGTAGTTTTATTTCTTGCTATTTCTCCAAACCTCAATAATAATGTAATAGTTGAAAAACAGAGGTATTTGGTTTATATTGTAATGTGAAAGTGTATTAATCAAAATATACAATCTACACCTGATCATTAAAAAAAAAATATTGTATAGGGCGTGTTACCTAAATTAGGATATTCATATTTAACCTCGTTATTACTTTATATCAGGTCGTTTTATTTAACTTCAATATTTTGATCATTATTTAAAGATTTGTTAGAGCTCTCAGTTTTTAACTGATAGGTATTAATATATTTTTTTTAAATAATATGAAATTACCATTTTAGCATAATCTGGCAGTATTATATCATCGACAGTGTTGTTTTTGACATCAATTTTATTTTGTTTCAAATTAAACTTCTGGTCTTGAATAGTGATTCTAAGTGGAAATGCAGCAGTTACCTGAAATATTAAAGTATATTAACAATAGGTAATTAATATAATGACGTAAATATTTAATAACCGTTAATTACCCAAACATTAATAAATACCTAGTGAATCATTATGAAGCTAGAATAAAATAAATCACAACTGTATATTTCAAATTTATTATAATAGGTAGTTAGGTAAATGTAAATATCGCATAATAGATATTACTCAACATGACAATACCCTAAGTAAGTAAGTAGGTAATTATTTGGGGAAAATGGTTTAAAAAAAATAAACGCCTATTGAATTTTGCCAGCAAACAATTGAAAAAGTAAAACTTAAAGAATACATTTTTTTTCTTGTTTCATACATAATATTCTAAGTTTTATAGTCTACATATTAATAACTATAAATTGTAGTCTTATGTTAGGTACCTACCTAACCTATTTTACATTTAACATACCCAGCCCAAATTAGAGAAAAATATTGATCATTGATGTAAACATCTTATGGCTGTCTACACCTACACACTGAACCAATAATAAATGTATAATTTCATATTGATCATTATATATTTTTGGTTGTAGCAACTAGCAACTCACCTGCGTAGGTATGGTAAATACTCGCGCGAACATGTCAGTAGGAATCCGAAGCGGTTAAGGGTAGTGGGTAGGGGAGATTGTGGTAATTTGTCGAGACCGGTAAGATGATGAATTGATATTTTTTAACAAAATACAAATTATGCATATCTAAGGATATTAGTTACAAATTACGAACATGATGTTACGAACAACTTATTTCTCGATATCGAGGTTAATCTGAGAAGAATTCACAGATATGTATATTAAACATTGTTTAATATACATATCTGTGGAAGAATTAAATATTATTTTACACAGATATATTTAATATTTATCTGTGTATTTTATCAATGATTCTGTGTCCTTGCGTTTTGATAAACGTTTTTGGTACATTTACTGTACATTTACTAGATTTCCGAAGTAGGTACCTACCATAAGTTTAATTACTAAATCTATTTTATACTTTAGAAATTACATGTTATAAGCTATATTTTGAATATATTTGTGATAAATATAACAAACTTCTGTACTTATGTGCTGATGGACAATTAAAATGTTTAATAAACATTTATGGGGCAAGATGACATTATGTTGTTATTTGGAATTTTGATTGAATAAATGTTAAAGACTTGTTTGAATTTATTTGATCATTATTTATCGCGATAACATTGACGTGTCCGCATGGGCACAATGTCAGTTTTTGCCTTACGTGTGTGTGTGTGTGTGGGGGGGGGGGGGGGGCTATCCATATATAGTGATACATAAAATAGACTAGTGTGCCCCCCCCCAACACACATCAATATACATTACCTGTACAATATACAACAAGATTTATTTAGAATTTATATTTAATAATTTTCTTACTTATACATTTTTGATTTTTCCCACTAGGTACTATAATTAAACACTAACCTAACCTAACCTAACACCATACATATTTTGTATTTACTAAGTAATAAGATCATTAAAAAGCCGGTAAGTGGGTGACGCTTTGCTGTACAGTAGGTTACAAGTGGTTCACTTGATGACTTAATGGATAGTGTTAAATTTAAATTCAATGATATAGGTAGGTAATATCATTGACAACTGTATACGAAACACGAATCTGAGCGAAGACTGGATATTTTATATTATGTATAAAATTGTTATTATTACTACTGTAGTCGGTAGGTTGAATTAATATTATTTGAATATTTTGCATTCTGTCTTAACTTAAGGCGATTGAAAGATTTGTATTGCTGGATTATCTTGGGGGGGGGGAACAAAATGATACCTTTGCACCTCCCCCCTTCCCCGCAATTACATAACTGGTGTCTGGTCTTTACAGTATTTACAGTTATGATGTTTTAAGAAGCAGAATACATCAAAATGATTGATGCTATATTGGTTAATACAACCCTGAGGTGGGAGGGATAGAGGCGAACTCCTAATCGAGAGGTCTGTCGAACCTCGATTTTTGTGACTGGACACAAATATTAACTTTTAAGTGATAAAATAATTGCAAAAATAGTTATTATAGCTATTAGCAAGGCTTATTGTAGGCAGTGGAGCAACAAGGGCTAAAATGTTGGGTCACCCAACTTGAGTGTATGCCCCACCTGATATTACATGAAAAGTAACCTATGGGGGTGTTATCCCATATACATTCACTTAATAATATAAAAAAATTACTAAAAAGAAGGTGGGCAAGTGGGTAGGTACTTCAATCTTCAATACTGAACAGTATAGCTGTCGACTGTCGAGTATATCATTGTAATAAATGTGTTGAATTTAAATTCAATGATGAATGGAAAATGCTAGTATAAATATTTTTTGTGAAAATTTTAAGTGTCTGCAATTATTAGTTTTTGAATTACACACAAAAAAAAAATTAAGTTTGCGTAAAAATTAACATTATTCGTTCATTTTTTTGTTTGTTTTTTCTAACGTTTACAAAAAAATAAGATTTACAGTTGAATTTTAAAAGGTTATTACTATTTTAGAAAACAATTGAATAGTATATTCTGTGGCACTTTTAAATGGTTTGGGGTTAGGTGCTAAGCCCCCCCCCCCCCAGTTGCGCTTATGAGTATAGCATAAAGGCCATTTAAAGGGAGATAAATATTAAATAGAGCGTTGTATGACTTCGTAAAAATCACAAAGTAGCAAATTTCATTAAGTAATAACTTCGAAACTGACCTCCAAATTATAACTTCACCCTCGTTTTCGTTATAACTAACTGCACAAGTTGGAAAAAAATTGCAAAGAACAGTGTTTAGTAGCTTAACGAGTTCCCAGGTTCAGTTTATTAAATAGGCATTATTTATTTTCATAATTTTTAATATTAGGTACTAGTGTATTACCTCTCCGAGCTCAATGGGAAATACCCCTAGAGTTAGCTGCAAGTAGCAAGTGGTCACGAATTTCGAAGTTGGAGTCGTTAAAATTGTAAAAGTCGCATCTGTAGGTTGTTAGTTAAGACCCAAAACTCAAAAGTTAAATGAGGTGATTTTGATGGTTGAAGGTGATTTGGTGATAAGGAATTGTAATAAGGCTTGTCTATTTGGCGATTGACGATCACATTTAAAAGGCAGTAATATTTGAAAGACGAGTTTAAGTGTCTAGAAATCTCTCACACCCATGGAAATTGGTATTTAAACGGGCTTGATACTTGATGCGGTCCAGTCTTGTGCTTTTATGAAAGTTGAACAGCGTAAATCTGAAAGCCGTGTGGTAATCATGTTACCATTTGGTACGTATTTAAAACTGTTAAAGATACACTTTCCAGTACTTCGGATTTTGATCAATGTATCGGCATGTACCTATATTGGTACATACTACTTACTGTTAGTGCCGTCATTGTAGTACATTTTAAAACATATTAAATATTTTTTCTATCATATTTCTGCGATTTAACTTGTACAAAATGAATAGGTACTTATGAACTAATGAACAACTAAAAAAATTTTTGAACACATATTGTTCATACTAAATACTTAAACTATTATTATCTTGTTCGTTTTAAAAAAATAATTGATGATACAATTTTTTAAGTTTCTGATTGCCTCATATGATATTTTCTATCATCTTGACACGGATAAGAGATTACACTTACCGTAATTCATATTTTTGGTAAAGCAGGGCAAGTTAACCAATTATTTTAAATTTTTAACTAGTTTCACTTGATTTATCTTAAAAAAATGAATTTAATTAAGTTAATGCAATTTAAAAATATAAACTAATTGGTCATTTGAAAAGTTAACTAAGTTGGTTTATGAAGTTTAAATAACAACTCAGTTATTGCAGGTTGGATAAATTCATTTTTAACTACAGGTAGGTACCTACATAAAATCTTAATACTTCATCACAAATATTATAATTTTATTTTATTTATAATATGTAAAGGAATCTTCTTGAAAAGGTCAATTTTCGATATGAATGAATAGTAAAAATCGTAAACCAGAAAATGTTTTGATTAATATATGATAGAAATACAGAGGAGTTAATTATAAATATTATTATATGAAACACATATACAAACAATATTTTTGATTTGAATTAGCATTAATATTTATGTATTAAGTCTATTTTGATCAACAGTTATTGATAATAATAAATTGAATATTCCTTTAAAGTTTAATTAATTTAATAATTTGATATGAATATATGAAACCTTTCAAGGGGAGATGGATATTGGATATGCCACTGTAGTAAAGTACCTAGTATTCAAAACTCATAGGCTGTCATATCTACTTACTGTACCTAATTAAAAAATACTCTCTCATTTCCTCCGCTCTTCGAATCCCTGCCTTACTCTCTCAATGTTTTGAGGCTGATCTTTATTTAATCTATTCACTTCTTGAGGATCTCTTGATTCATCCAATTTGCTCTCTGCTATCTCACTCCTTATTCCTACTAGAAACTATTTCCTTTTTCAATTACCGTAAAAATGTAAGACTTGCGGTCAGAATGTTACGTAGTCTCAATTCAACTTAGTCTCGGTCACTTTTTTGACAATCAATGTTATACTAAGTTAAAACAATCTAATCACTGCATTTAAATTATTGCCTATTATGACATAAACTAATAAATTAATAATCATAATAAATAATAGACTCCTGCTTTGAATCATAGACCATCACCGACACATAAGACATGTATTGATAATCTGGACAGGAATAATGTATAGGCAGACTAGATGCCACACTGATTTTAAATTTATAATAAATCAAACAGAAGAGCAACAAGGGCAACTATAGCAGTAGCCCCACCTGATATTACATTAAAAGTAACCCGCGGGGGCTTATAATATTATAGTTCAGTGCATAAAAATTATGTACAATAATAGTACCAATGTACCAATATAATTTGTTCCCTTAAAAACAATACAGGCATATAGCTAATGATATTACCATATATATCATAGGGAATACAAAATAATTGTATACTTTAAATAAAAATAAGAATTACAGTTGAATAATTTTAAAAGGTTTATTAATATTTTAGGAAACAATTGAATAATTTAGTGATGGGATAGGGGCGAAGCCCCCCACCCACTTCTTAGTTATGTGTATCTTCTGGAAACTCACTTCCCACAAGATAACAAGTTTTATATACCTTCTTATGATTTTTTGAATACAGATTGTTATTATATTCTCTGGTAATTTATTCACACAAAAAAATTAAATGTATAAGTATAGTATAAATCACACATTTTTTTTTTCATTGATCAAGGAATATATTCACAAGAAAAACTAGGATATAATGTCAAATCTCCGGCATATATTGTATTAAAGTATTTCAAGAATGAAGATTATAAAATATTTTTCACAACTTCAATTTGGTATTAAAGTGTTAAGAAATATATGAGATATACAAAGAAAGAGGACATTAAACGCAATAGCTTTATTTGATATTGAAATAGATTTTGATGAACTCTTCAATCACTTAATTTGAGAAATATTATAAAGAATTTTGCTAGTCTAAAAACAAGAAAAACAATTTCTAAAGTTTTTTTTAAGCTTAATATAACTATATTCTCATAGAAGCACCTTAGAAATCTTGCATAGTGTAATATTTTTTCTTAATCGTGTTCTAGGAACAATAATGTAGTATATATAAAATATTAGGAATAATA